TAAAAATTTATGCTCTTTTAGATGTGAAGACTTCATATGCTTTCAATTTATCCTGAAACTCAGCCATCAGGTCCTTATTCATATAGTAATAAATTCAATGATGCTGTGAACAGACTTGTTGTTCCCATCTCCCAAATTAATCAGAATGTGACATTCAACAATTGGTTTACCAAATTCCAGTCGATGTTACATTTGCTAACAGAGCACAAGTTGACCAGCATTGGAACTGTACGCAGGAACAAAGCAGAAATTCCAAATGAAATGTTCCAATTTCAAAACAGAGAATTGTATAGTACCACCTTTGGATTTCAGAAAGATTTACACTGGCTTCATATATGGCAAAGAAAAACAAACTGGTACCGCTGATGTCAACCTTGCACCATGATGGAAATATTGATAGGGAAACTATGACAAAATGGAAGCCTAAGATGGAAACTACAACAAAACCAAAAGCAGAGATGTTGTTGATGAGTTATGCAGCAACTATGATGTCACTCAAAACACAAAGTGTTGGCCAATGGTTGTGTTTTACTCAATCCTAAACATGTGTGGCATAAATAGTTTGATAGTTTACAAAGAAAATAGCAAGTGCAAAACACACAGATAAATTTTCTTAGAGGATTGGAAAAATCATAAAAGATAACTTTTAGTAGTGGAAAAACAAAATGTTTCCGCCCAGGGAACTATTTAAAAAAATTGTGGAGCACACTGGTGAGCTGACAGGTGAACAGGCAACCACAGGATCCCAAAGACATTCTATGACAATAAGAAGACCAAAAAGATGTTAACTGTCTCCTACAAGACAGGACAGGAAAACAAAACATGTGCTATCAGTGTAAGCGATACTGGTGCATGGAACATGCAATTTTTCATGTGTGAAGACAGCCTCGTGTGACAACTGAAGCAAAGATTATCTTTGTTGTAGAGTTTTATTGATATTTTCACTGCAGTTCACATCGGTTTTTATTTCTGATGTTATCTTTTAGGTTTTGTAAGCAAGTAAACAGCTGATGTGAAAATTTTAAAGCTTATTCTGAACGCATAATACAGATTAAGAATTTATTACTTTTATTGATATGTTCCTGTTAACTACACATTGCATAATATAGTAAGAACTCCTGACAAAACAGCAAGATATCAGGTCCTACAAAAGGCCAGGAAAGCAAAACACATGTGTTGTCAATGTAAGTGATACCTGTGTATAGAGTGTGCTGTTGTTATGTGTGAAGACTGCTTTAGATGTGATAATTGAAGTAAAGATTTTTTTTTTGTAGAGTGCTATTGGTATTTTCATTGTAGTTAATATAGTTTTTTATTTCTGATGTTCTTTTTAGACTTTGTACACCAAAAACCAGTTGATGTTGAAAATTGTGATGCTTTTTTATAAACAATAACTATTAAAATGCAATGTTTTATTTTTGTGATTTTTTTTCCTGTTAAGCACTCATTGTTTAATAAAACTCATAAAGTTAAAATTATAATTCATCAATAGAAATATTCTAAAGAATAAATACATCCATGTTTATGCATCTTTATGACAAGAAATGTGTTATGTCCCCCTCCTTAATCCACTACAGCCAACTGGGACAACTTAGCTAGACTATCTTAAAATAAAAAATAAGGTGGGTGTGGTGGCACATGCCTGTAATGCCCGCACTCAGGAGGCTAAGGCAGGAGAATCATCACAAGTTTGAGGTCACCCTGGGCTACATAGTGAGTTCAAGTCCATCCTGAACTACATGGTGAGACCCTGTCTCAATCAACACTCTCAATTAATCAACCAACCAACCAACCAACCAGGCTGGCCCAGAATACACGATGCCAGATTCAATCCTTAGTACTGCAAAAAAGGAAAAAACACAGAAAACAAGTCATTAAGTCCAGCTCTTACTCAAGGGGAGGAGAACTAAGCTACACCTCTTGAAAGGAGAAGTATTTGTTGTTTGTGGACTATTTTGAAATTCCAAGAGGTGATTAGTGGCATATCCAGAAAAAAATATATAATTTATTTATAAATGAAAAAGTTAATTTCACAAGTACATGTACATATAAATAGACATGTACATATAAAGGCATAAAGAGACAACTTAAAAATCCTCCATAAGGGCCAGGGATTTATTTAGCTCAGTGGTTCTGCCCGCCTGCCTCCCCGCCTGCCTCGCAAGCACAAGGTCCTGAGTTCGATCGCCGGTACCAAAAAAAAAAAAAAAAATCCTCCATAAGCATAATGTGCCTTCCACAAAAGGTAACATAATCTGGGTCCAAATAACAGAAAAATGGCATCCGGAACAAATTCTATGATACTCTGTACCATTTAGGCCACATCAGGAATATCCTGTTTGGCTCTGAGTACCACACTTAGTAAATCTGAATAGAAAATGAACTGGAGTTAACCATTTAGACAAGTTGCTTCAGGAAAGAAGAACAATCTAGAGGGAAACTGGAGGTGTTTACCTTAAAGAGGTAAGACTTAAGAGGGAGAGAAGGAATAGGGTATATCATAGCCTTCTACTGTAATGGTTGCCATGTGGAAAAGTTAAGAGGTAAGTGGTAGAACCTGAACCATGAGTCCAGTGATGGGGTTCAACGCACCTTAATATGATGAAGAAGTGTCTAACAATTAAGAGTTGAAAAACAAACCTTGAGCCATTCAATGAATTTCCCAAGTGGCTGTAGGAGAAATATACAGAGTCAGAGGGGTCATGGTGCTGTCACTCCCTCATGAACTCCCTAGTTCATGTCTAAATGGGTCTTTCCCTACTCACACTGGTGTGGCTGGTGTTGAAACCAACTGCATGGCCTTTGTCAAAGCACTAACCCAAAAACAGGACCTAAGCCATGAGGTGTAAATGAAATATCTGGCACACAATACAGTAAGTTCCTGACTTATGACCATTTGAGTTGCAAACTTTCACAAGTGTACTGTATAAGACTCACTTTGTTGGATTTCAAATGAATCCGACTTATGAATAGTTTGTGCTTTATCAATGTCAGCTATTACCTGTGTTGATTCAGAGTATGACTGGCTGCTCTGTAAGGTCCTTTCTAATTTCTGAGACTATTAAAAAGTTAAAGTCACTATCACTATTAAATCTGATGGTCAGCTTTAGTAATAATATAAATACTCATTGGTAGGAATGACAAAACTCATCTTCATGCTGGGGATTTAGCTCAGTGGTTTCGCTGCCTGTTGTGCAAGCACAAGGACCTGAGTTCGATCCCCTGTACCAAAAAAAACCCCACAAACTCATCTTCAAAGGTAGAATGGTTGGACATGCTTTGGGAAATCACACAGAACAGAGGTAGACACTTAGTACAAATATATAAAAACCACAAAAATCAAAACTAAACATATTCAAACAGGTCATATCCTCACTGGTGTTTGTGGTCGGCTTTCTAGAATGAAGTTACTTTATTTATTTACATATGGGCTTTTTTGAGACAGAATCTTGCTATGCAGTTCAGGCTGGACTTGAACTCATTATGTAGCCGAGGCTGGCCCTGAACTCACAGCAATCCTCCTGCTTCAGCCTCCCAAGTGCTGATATTATAGGAGTGTGCCCCCATGCCGGCATGAAGTTATTTTAAAAAGGAGACTCAAAGTGGGCTACTTCATCTCCTCAGAGCAAATTAAATTACTACAATTAGATTACTCACCCATGCCTGCCAACAACCCACCACAACTGAAAACTTACTTTTTGGGTGCCAGCAGCTTGGATATTCTGCCATGTTGCTACAGGCTCTGCAGCTACATGCCACTCTGGGTAAGTTTTCGTGAGTAACTTCACAAAGGTAGACTTTCCCACAGCTGTAATGCAAACAGCATATATTGGGATTGTTCTCAAATCAAGCTGAAGAAAGCTACTAGTCTCTACCATGAATGCTCCGCTCAAGGGGCTGGAGTACCAGCAGCCATACTATTGTTAGACTGATGATGGATCTGGCCATGCTAACTAGAGTCACTATAGTGAATACAGGCAACACAGAAGAAAAATTCCTTCAAGGTGTGATTGGCAATTTTAAAGTCTCCACCTCCCAGAGGCAAACACTTCTTAGTAGTGCTGAAAATTTAACAGCCATCAAAAGTGGATGAAATCAATTATGTAAATCATAAAGTTTAAACCACAGCTCAGGAGGTCAGGGGATTCGCTTTTGAAAAAACATCTGACGAAAAACCTTAAAGATGAGGAGTTAGCTGTGCTAAGAATGGGGGAAGGATAATCTGTACAGAGGGTAGCATGAACGAAGGCCTAAAAGGAGAAAGAACTTGGTACATGACAAAACAGAAAAGTATGAGGCTCTGGAATAAGCCAGCAACATTACAGCATGAGTGAATGAGGAAGAAGAGTAGCTTGAGATGTAGGCAGCCAAACAGACAAGGAGTCCAGGGCCAGGTCACACAGGACCTGGCAACCATTGTAAGAAGGTTTGATTTTTATTTCAAGGGAAAAAGGGAGTCACTGAAAAGGGGCATTAGGCAAAGAAATTGGAGATTCCTTCTAATTTGTAAACGGTCACTCTGCCAGCTGTCGAAGAATGGGCTGAAGCTGACATAGGCAGATCAATCAAAGAATAGTAGCTTCACCAAGGAGATGGAAAGTAGAGGTTGCTTTGAAAAATATTTGAGAATGCAATCAACCTAGTACTAAACATTCACATTATCTTTTTACCATTTACATCAGTGTCTGGCTCTTATCTCCCCTGAGCTCCAGACAGCTCCATTTGAGCATTCCATGAATACCTCAAAGTCATATATACCCCAAGTAAGCTCATCATTTTTCCTCCTGTATCCCAGACCTTGGGTTATGGGAGTGTCATCCACTCACTGTAAGAACATCTTCCTCCTCTGCCAAACTTCAAGTAGCCATTAATCACTTTGCACTTGCTTCCAACTTTTCCCCATATGTTCTTTTCTCTCCACTTATACCTCCATGCTCAAGACCAAGTTCTCATCATCCCTTGCATCTCCAATTCCAGCCTTATTCTACTCATCCCAACCTCCACACGGCAACCATACTGCACATAAAACACTGCTTAAAATACTTTCAACAGCCCCCTATTGGCTTCATGATAAAAATCAGAACCATTAGCATAGTCTTTGAGATACAAGATCTGATCCCTATATATGCCTCTCCCGCCTCAGCTTTCCCATTAATCTGGCTGGACTAAAGTCCTTTCAACTCCAATCATATCATGTTTTCTCGTGCAAATGTGACTTGGCATTCCTCTCTCTCACGTGGCCAACTCCCACTCAGTTTTCAAGGTTCTGATTAGAAGAACCTCCTGTGTAAAGGCTTTCCAGACCCTGATGCATCTCAACTGGAATCCTCATGTTTGGCCTGGTATTCTGGGGGTAAGACTCTATCACTGCAAGGATAACTCTATTTCTCCAGGTAGAAGATAAGGCTCCTGAAGGGTAGAAAACAAAGCCCAGTCTAATGTCCTGGATGAATGAGTAAGACACACAACACAATAATTCTAGTTCCCTCCGATACCTATATTTGTGAAGACCTCCCAAAAATGAACCTTCAGAGTGCATTCAGAGTTCAATCACCTCTATCAGAAGTAGTCTTTCCTCCATGAGTTTTACCCTCCAGAGGAATGCAAACAGAACCAAGGGAAAGAAGTGGGGGGAACCCTTTTAGTCAATTTTATGAGCCACAGTGGTTACTAATCAGGAGTGCTGATGTCTCAGCACAAGAGCCCATACATCCAATATGTGACATTTATTACATACCACGCAACTCCTCTCAGAATAACAGCATAAGAACAACATGAATTTGTGCATTTTGTACAGTCATGCTCTCCTCTCAGTCCCCACCTCCACCCAACTTGTATGTACCTTTTCATTCTGCTCAGTTTCTGCTTTTCTCACACATCAGTGAATAAGTGCCTTCCCCTGCTCTTCTATACTCATGTCTTAATCTTTTCCCCTTCCAAGGAAAAGGTCTTCCCTCTTCCATGAAGTTCAGGACTTCTCTAGCTCACACCGAACCAAGGAAGAGAAGTGGGGAGAATCCTTTTAGTCAATTTTATCAGCCACAGTGGTTATTGATCAGGAGTGATGTCTCAGCACAAGAGCCCAAACATTCATTCTGGTCAATTACCAATTTGTTGAGTCTGTATATTTTCAGATACCTGCCTGCCCTGACTAGGCCCCAGCTTAAAATTTTTTGGCCCAGTGGTTAACATTTGGGTTGCAGGTTGTTCAGCAAATATGAAATATGGTCCCTGCCTACAGGCTAAAAAGCTACTTTAAATAATGCAGAAGGATAAAGGTAGTTGATTTGTTGAATGGTTAGGACTGAATGTTAGAATTATTGGTATTTTTAAAAAGTGAAAAATGATTACCTAAAATACTGCTAGACATGGAAGGGAAAGGCTCTGAGGGCTAGGCAGTGTCAACTTCACCTCTGAGATCAAACACTATTAGTTCATCTAAGGGCAGGTTGGACTCAGAATCCAACTCATGCCATTTAAACACATTAAAGCCTGGAATGCCAACAAATTAGATGTAATGGGAAATACATGGTTCCAATTCCTGGAACAATCATTTCTGATACCCAGAGCACTCTGGACCCCATTCCCATTCCAAGGCCTCTGGAAAACCAATTTAGTAATCAGGAGCCAGCTTCAGCTTACAATGACAGTAAGTAGTGGTGGAAGGTCCTGAGAGATGGCCATCCATGTTGCAATGACTGGGAAAACCTAGGGAATGCACCATAGAGCAATCAATACTTCCTAAATGAATTTCACTGGAACTGAGCTGTGGTACCCAGAGATGTGGATAAAAAATAATTTAATACAGGAAGAAAAGGTCTAAAAGGGAAGAGGAAAAGGAAGTAGGAGTAGGGGAAAGAAGGGAAAGGAAAAAATATGAGAAAAGGAAAAAATAGAAACAAAGTCTTTGTAAATAGGGAGGGGTAGAGGGGTTGAAGGGAGGGCAGGGGAATGGGGAAAAAATAAGAACCAAGATATATCATGTAGTGCTGGGGATTTAGCTCACTGGTGCCGCCACCTGCCTCACAAGTGCAAGGTCCTGAGTTCAACTCCCAGTACCAAAAAAAAAAAAAATTCCAATTTTCTTAAAAAAAAAAAAGATATATCATGTAAAGGTACAAATTCCCAATAATGAATGTCATCATTTGTATACCTAAAATGAACCAATAAACTTAATGAAAAAAAAATAAGTCAAAGTTAACTATTTATACTAAGACCTGAGACGTCTGGGGATTTAGCTCAGCAGTGCAGTGTCTGCCTTGCAAGTGCAAGGTCCGATTTCAATCCCTGGGTGGGGTGGGGTGGGGTGGGGCTGAGACAATATAACTTTTCCAGTGCTGTGATATCGAAAGCTTTTTTTTTTCTTCTTGCTTGGAAGTCTTTGTTTTATTTAAAGATAAATGCCTTAATGTGTTCCCACTTTAAAGGGGGCCTTGTAAGAGTGGTGGTATTTGGTTCTCTACTGGCACAAAGGGTTCTTCCCAGTGACCCATGTGTATAGAAAGATTCACTTCCTCAGGCTATTGCCTCTTATGATATCCTTATCTCAGACTTAGCTCAATTTAGTTAGATGCCAGCTTAACTATTATTGTTCAATAAATAGTAGAGGTTTAGAGGTTTGACAAGTTTGTGAAGTAAGATGATCTCACAAGCAGCATTAAACCGTCCCTCGGGCCTTGGCTTTTAGGGCACTTTATTTTACATGCCATGACTTCAAAAAATGTCAGGAGTACTTTCTTAACAGCACATTACTTCAACACATTGAGTTTCATTAGCTTCTGGAATGTCATTCCATAAGCTAGACCAAGGAGTTCCGTTGTCAATATTCATCTTTTCTCAATCCATGGCTTTTTCTTCCCACAAGTTTTTCTATGAATTACAATGTTACAGCTATCAATACATTATGCTAAAATCTAGCAATAAGAAGTATCTCAGGTAATACCCAAAATAATATAATTACATCCATAGCTACATTATGCTAAAATCTAGTATCAAAACAGTATCTGATGTAATACCCAAAATTACATATTCCATTATTTAAAATTTAACACAGATTAAAAAAAAATTTAACACAGTTGTATTTCACGGCAATTTCTTAAATATACTGTCACCTCTAGGCATTTTCTCTTCCTAAACAAGATGGAAAACATGAGAAAAAAAAATCAAATTTTGAAATCCTTAACCAAAGTAAAAGGCAGTAAATGTAAAACCAGTATCTTAAAAAAAAAATCTCCCGAAGGAATTTAGTCTATTCCAGCGACTGCATTTGATGCTGCATCCATTCAATCAATAGATGTTTATGGAGGAAGTACTAAGTGACAGGTACTACAGCCAGGACGATGAACTAGGCTGAGATCTTGCCCTCAAGGAACTTATTCTTTTCCAACATGGAGACTAAGTACCCAGGATCATACAGGTTCTGAGCCGAGAAGTATCCTGGGCAAACAAATCAGTCAGCATTCTTTTATTGTTTTTGGTACTGGGGATTGAACTCGGGACCCTGCGCTTGCGAGGCAGACGGCAGAACCACTGAGCTAAATCCCTGGCCCTTCAGTCAGCATTCTTTTTTT